TTTTCTCCAAATTTATATATGGCATTCAATTGTTCTTCTTATTGTGTTGGGATGTTGAACCGAACTCTACCCTTACTTTGGTTTGGATATTGAAGTATGCCCGACCTTTGATTTTTTGGGTTTTTGTTCCTTCAATTTGAAGGTTTTGCTGCCCTGATAGAAACTGTATTGCGATAGAAGTGCCATGATTTGCCTTCCACAATGTTAAATTAGCCCCTTGATGTTCAATTACAACTGAAGTCGCAACTTGTATGTGGGAAAGTTGAAACCTCATGAGTAGAAGTGTTTCTTGGCTTCGTATAATAGATACTTTCTATTTATCTTCTGGTGTAGGAAAAATTTAGTGATGTCGTCAATTGGCTTAAAGCAAATGCTACAAAAGGGGAGAGTCTGCCAGCACTAGTTTCTCAACCTGCTCAAAATAAATTGGTGTCCGAGATTAAGGGTAACGAGATAAAATCTTTCCCAGAAAATACTGGGATTGTTTCAGCTGCTACAACTGCAAGCTTTGCACCTTCATGGAGCTCTGGAGTTCTCTTTACCACTGAAGCAGCACAAGCCTCCTTTTCTTTTGGTAGGTATTATTTTCCATAAAGTTAAGGACATTTCAATAAAGTCCAAGCACGAATTCCGGTTGTAGAATTTGCGTATGAATAACCTCAATATGTCATCTTAAAACTTAAGGTAGAAAATTGAATGAACTAGTTAGTAGCAACTTGAATCTGTTTTAATGGTTGGCATATGCTGTACACATGATAGTAGGAACGCTTGCTGTTCATACATTTTCCACTGGCCTCATGACCCATTAAGATGATACCTCGTGAATCTCGCATATCTGATAGCCTTGTGTTGGCAGTGCATGGGCTCATGGCATACTGCTTGTGATCAACCTTTATTTTGAGAATTGGAAATGAAACTTTTGTTGATATGTGTAATTATCTTAACCAACTTTCTATTGGTTCTACAAAGAGACTGTACTATTTTTCTGCTTGTTTGAAATTGATATGATATCTGGTGGCATACTGCTTTTTTATTTTTGTTTCAGGAAGCCAAAGTTCAGTTCCACTAAATCAGAATGCTTCAAGTGATGTGGATGGTGGTGAGACATGGAACCTTTCTTATTGGACATTGATTTTTGTAAAATCCATATTAAATGTGCACCCAATTGAACTTAATATTTGTTGTGCTTATGTTGTGTAAACTAGTTTATCTAGTTTTTTTTTTTTTTTAAAACTTCAGTTCAAGAAGAAAAGTTTTTTTGGGTGGGGAGGGCGTTTCTGTCGGTGGTTGTAAGTTTGTGAAAATGTATGTTTTGATTTTTAGCTTTAATCTGTTTTATCAATAAATGGGTTGTTAACCTATGTTTTATTTCCATTCCATGTGATGGAAGGTCTTGTGTGTTCAATGTCAGACTTAAAATTGTCAGGTATATGGGTAGTCGGGTACAAAAGTATTATTGGATGATTACAGGGGATGGGGTTCCATCCTGCATTTATGTGACAATGGTTTTTCGTTTGTGTAGTTGAACAACGCATGGTGGAACATGTAACCTTTATTATCAAAATTACCTTGTTGGACTGAGTACCCATTGAATGACGTCAAGGTGCAAAGTTGTTGTATTCGTGATCTACTCTTTGTGCATTGTGGTACAACTACGTCAGCTATATGTGGTTACTTAACCTAGACGTCTTAGGAGTTGGCTGTTTTCACCCTTCATTTAACCTTGTTATTGTCTCAGTGACAACTTAGATTGTATAACTTGGTCAAGACTTCTGGCCTGAATGTCGTTCTTCACTAAACACATTTTTGAAAATTTGTCTTATAGGAGGATAGAGGTTTGTAAGATAAATGAAGGAACTTAGCTATATGTCAACCAAGTTCAATCATGTGAGAATATTAAAAGGTTTGCCTTGTGGCTGTGTTACAAACATCATATATTTATTATATTTGTAGAACTTTAAAAGCTTAATTTCTATGGGGAAAACTTTATTTTTTAATTTGTTTTGTATGACAACATGGTATGCCTGTTTATGGGATAACAGAAGGTGACGTGGAACAGCCTAGCAGCCCATCCGTGAAAAAGACTGAAGAGAAGGGTGTAATTGTTGTACACGAAGTCAAATGCAAGCTTTATGTGAAGGTAATTTCTTTGTGAGAACTTGCAATATTATTCCAGGAAGGCATTTATTGTGTATATACTTCCTCTTTCATTCATCAATAGGACCCTGGTCGGTCACTTTTCTGGCCGGGATCAATAAGTGGAAGTCATAAAAAAGAGATCTTTCTCTTCGCACCTCAGATCAAGAGGAAGGGTAGCTTGTCAAGCTGGCCTAGAATATTGATATCTTTCTATGATTATTATTACATATAATAATCATAGAAAGATATCAATCAAAAGATTCGCTGTCTTTTAACCGGCTGTTCTTCTTTGTCAACGCTACTAAGGATCTATAGGTTCGCCTACTTCACTTATGAAAGATAATGAGAATGGGTTATTCAAAAAGGAAAAGGCGCTACTTAGCCCTACATTAGTAGAAGTAAGCGGCTGAGTTAGCCTACTATACCCTACTAATGTATTGTATAGTAGGGTATAGTAGGCGAGCGAGTTAGCGAAGAGGCTTAGGCTAATAGAAAAGAGAGCGTCGGTGCGTAGCCTTCATTCTACTACGAAAAGGTTACGAAGTCACTTAGCTCGACGTTAGGAGAGTCAAGGGGGAACGCCATACCTACATAGAAGACCCGCTGTTCGCTGACTTTCTAAGGTCTAACCTTTCGCTCCCCTACTGAAAAGGGACAAAGCCGCTTTGCACCACTGATAGACTACTTAAGATTCCATTCAAAAGGCCCCACTTAGTTTCGCAAGCCTTTGTCATTGTCAGTCAACTAAGTAGGGCCTGAGGCCCCCTGCGAATCCGTAAATCTGAGGAGCATGCCGCAACAAAAGGATGGTCCCCTATGCATTTCATTCTTTCCGGAAGGGAAATCAAAAGTACCCCCCATCATAGTGAACCTCTCCTTGTGATCGGGATGAGGTAGATGCCTCCCAGCCAGGGGGCGGATCGAATCGGAGTTTCCTTAGGTAGCCACCGACCTACAGTTATCCTTAAACTTCCGTGCTTGGTGGAGAAGAAGCGAACAAAGGTACGCTCGCTTGCTGTCTTGTTCTCTGTCGCGAACTGGGATCGCTCGCCAGCTAGGTCAGATTGGAGCAAGATTGTATGAGAAAATATTACCCATTTTCGGGGACAAGGGGCGGAACGACCTCTCGATCTACTTACTGCAGCCCAGGAAGAAAAACGTCGTCTAGGCGTTCCCTGTTGCTCCGATCTCCCCTACGCCTAGGACGTTGTCTGGGCCAAGAGCCATAGTTAGTTGCTGTTTCCATTTTGTTGTTTTTTTCTCGTTGTTGATACCGGCAAGACCCAGCCAGATGATGTCTGCTGGTTGGTAATGAGAGGACTCTTAGTACCTGCATACCCAAAAGGGGGCGCTGGTTAAAAAGCAATCATTTGATTTAGTTTCTTGCTCTCCCTTAGCAGCGGGAAAGGAGTCTATCTATCTGCCTAGCTTTGGTAGATTTCCCCCAACGCAATCCACAGAAATTCCACGAATCCCTTGGTGGATAAGTCCGACGACTCAGCAGCAGTGCGGAATTGAGTTTCTCGTCTGGTGGATCTGATCTATAGTTAGGGGGCAATACATACCAAAAGGTTCAAAGAAGGAACGCGCATAAGAATATATAACCAACCCACCCTTCTGTATAACCTATTCACATTAGTGAAGCGGCTGGATGCATAAGGGAAGTGCACGTTTGTGAGACCTTAGTCGGGATGCATAGGGGAGTCAACCTACGAGCACGGAAGAGCGTGGTACCGCTACCCCTCTCTAAGTAAAGGTCAGATTCTTAGCCCTTAAACAGATAGGTGATGACTCCATCTAAAATCAAAAAAATAGGGACAGCCGTTTCCGGCTGCAAGTTGAGTAGAACCCATATTATCATCATAAAAGGTAATAGGAGAAGAAGGAGCTATGCCAAGATCATGAATAAGATATGATATCTATAGAAGGTCAGAGGTAGCAGAAGAAAGAGCCAACTATTCTGTCTCGGTACTATACTGAGAAAGAGTCACTTGCTTTTTCCTTGACCACGAAATAGGATAAGCTCCAAGGAATATGCAATGGCTCATAGTGGAGCGTCTTCTATCAGGACACCCAGCCCAGTCGGAATCAACATAACCTGCTAAAGTAGAGGATGATGTCAAAATAAAGGAGATGCCAAAGTCGATCGTAGCCTTAAGATAGCGCAAAATACGTTTAACAGCTTGAAGATGAGTATCACGAGGTGAGTGCATGAACTGACAAACTTGTTGCACTGCATACATGATATCAGGGCGAGTGAATGTAAGGTATTGCAAAGCACCAACAATCTGCCGATAGGATGTAGGATCATCAAGAAGAATTCCATCATAAAGAGAAAGTTTACGACCCAGGAGTAGAACATGATATGCAGTCAAGCATATTCATCCGAAATAGAATGGAAACAATATATTTAGACTGTGTGAGTTTAAGCGTAGAAGTGGTTCGAACAGCCTCAACCCCAAGAAAGTAATGCAAAGAACCTAGATCCTTCATAGCAAAATGAGAAGAGAGATGATCAACCACAGAGTGAAGTAAGGGTGAGGAAGACCCAGTCAGGATGATATCATCAACATAGAGAAGAAGGACAATAGTATCATGATTGCGACGAAGAACAAAATGTTTGGATCAGCCTTGCTGCAGCAGAAAGCCAATTGAAGAAGAGCGGAACTAAAACGGTGGAACCATGCACGAGGAGCTTGCCTTAGACCAACAATTGCCCTGTTTAGTTTACAAACATGTGTAGGACGTGAGGAATCAACAAAACCAGGTGGTTGAGACATGTACACTTCTTCAGAGAGCACACCATGAAGAAAGGAATTTTGAACATCCAGTTCTTTGATCACCCAATTGGCTCCAACCGCAACAGAGAGGACGGTACGAATGGTTGTAGGTTTCACAACTTCCCGTCAGGTCTCATCAAAATCGACACCTTCTTGCTGCGTAAACCCTTTAGCAAGAAGGCTCGCCTTAACTTAAAACGCTCAACTGAACCATCGGAAGGCTCCAACATCTTATAGACCCAACGACAACCAACTACATGAATGGAAGAATGATAGGGCACTAAGGTCCAAGTATGGTTGTGAAGGAGCGCGGTGTACTCATCCTTCATAGCCTGAACCCATCACGGGAGGCCTGTTTAAAGGTCGTGGGTTCAAGAATTGAAGTCAGAGTCTGTGTCTGTGTCATCAAAGCTCGAGGAAGACTATGTTTACTCGAATAGAGAATAGACGGTTTACGAGTTCCATCCTTAGAACGTGTGATCATGGGATGACAGGGAGCCAGAGGTGCTTGTCTCTCATGAGGAGAAGGCACTGAAGAAAGAGGTCAAGTCTGAACTGAAGGAGAACCCACTAGAGAATGTGTAGAAAGGGGAGGCTGGTCCACTGGTGAGTTTGCTGAAGCAGGAGAAGTATGATTGCCAGCAGATGAATCAGATGGAGAAGATAATGAGGGCTCTGAGGAGAGATCAACTGACGAGTCCGTGGTAGGTGCAGAAGAAGATGAACTAATTAGTAGCATGAGAGGCATAGGAAGAATGGAGGTGACAGTGGTACTGATCGGAGAAGTAGGAAAATCGACTTGCTTCTGAAACGGAAAGCAGTGCTCATAAAAATGACATGACGAGAGATGTACAGTCGACTTGCAGAAGGATCGAAAGATCGGTAGCCTTTGTGTATAGTACTATAACCAAGAAAAACAAACAAAGTAGCCAGCAAGATAGGGGGCTGTAATTTATCTTTTCGATATGGACCTAAGTGAGGATAGCATGCACAACCGAATACCCTGAGATGTGAATAGACTGGAGGAGTGAATCTTCGCCCTAACCCAATACATTATCTCATTTACCACAAGAGGGAAATCTCTAATCTTACCCTGGTACATCCTGGCATGAAAGAAATGCCAGATTGCATAGACAGCAGCTGCAAGCATAAGTTTAGCTACCAAGGAGAATACAGACTGACCTTTGAAAGGAGAGGCCATAGCCTGAATAAGATCCAACAAAATCCCACTAATCCCAGGCAAGTTACATCTATCCCATAACATGAGCCAAATGCGCTCAGAAAAGGGGCAAAGAAAACAAGTGGTCAAAATTCTCCACACCCAGCCCACAGAACACACATTTCATTTCCTGCATAATACCCAGGCCAACTAAGGTTAAGACAGAGTGGGAGAATATATTCTCAGGTTCGCATGCCACCTTCCTGACAGCCGGAGTTTCAGACCACTCTCCTGTAGTAGTCAAGGTGGCGGAGATGCCTCGGCTAAGATCGCCTTTTCACTTTTTC